AATTTATTAATAATAGGACATAAGTTAAGTCAGGGGTGGGCAAACTTTTTGGCCCGAGGGCCACATCTGGGTGGGGAAATTGTATGCAGGGCCATGAATGTAGAGCTGGGGCAGGGGGCTGGGGTGCAGGAGGGGTGCGGCAGGGGGCTCAGGGTAGGGGGTTGGGGTGCAGGGGAGGTGCAGACAGCAGGAGGGGGCTCAGGGCAGGTGGCTGGGGTACAGGAGGGGGTTTGGGCTGCGGGCTCCAGCCCAGCGCCACTTACCTCTAGCGGCTCCAGGGTGGCAGCGGCGTGCCTGCCTGCCCTGGCCCCACGCCGCTCCCGGAAGTGGCCAGCATGTCCGGCAGTGACTCCTGGGGGTGGGGTGGGGCAGATGGCTCTGTCACGTGCTGCCCTCGCCTGTGGGTACCACCCCCAAAGCTCCCATTGTCCGCAGTTCCCCATTCCTGGCCAATGGGAGCTGCGGGGGGCAGTGCCTGCAGACGAGGGCAGCGCACAGAGCCCTCTGTCCCTCCTCCCCCAGGGGCCACAGGGACACGGTGCCAGCCGCTTCCGGGAGTGGCACGGGGTCAGGGCAGGCAGGGAGCCTGTCTTAGCCCCGCTGCACCAAGGGGCTAGCAATCCAACGGGCCAGATTGAAAACCCTGATGGGCCGGATCTGGCCCACGGGCCATAGTTTGTCCTCCCCTGGGTTAAGTGATGCCAAGTAAAAAAAAGGATTACAAGCAAATAAAACTGAAGATATGCATCTAAAAGTCTAAAACTTAACTAAACCAGAAGCTGTCTTTGGCATCCAGCACTAGTCAGACTCAAGTGAATAGAGTTCTTGCAAGGTGAGAAAGATGGGGTCCTTCTTCCCTGCCAAAGCTGTCTTTTCTTCAGTCAAGACCTTCCACAGAAGTACAAAGTGCTGGCTTTCCTTGTCTTCCTAGGCAAAAGATCTTTGCCTAAGCAGTTATTTCACCCATATTCAGTTTCCAGCAACTTCAATCCCCCCTTGGTTGAAGGACCCATCTTTCTCACCTTGCAAGAGCTCTGTTCTCTTGTATCTGTCTAGTAATGGATGCCAAAGATGGCTTCTGTTCTTGCTTATATCTTCCAAATTTCAATTACCTTTATCAAGAGGCAGGATGGCCTCATGCTGTTTCTCCCCTTCCTGTGGGCTTCCCATCAACATGTATGTAAACGGGGCTTCCAATCATTTTAATTCCACCATGTTTAATTTACATAAGAGACAGGTAAATAGCTGTGATGTTTCCTCCTGTCTGGGAGAGGCATGTTTCTCCCTTTACTTAGGCACAGACTGTAAAGTCTAATATCAATGAGTACCCAATTCCATATATAGTGTTAACACACACATTTTACAGCATTAACCACCAATGTGTCATTGGCTTTCATAAAACACCTTACTTGATAAACTTTTATATAATAAGTTGATTCAATTGCTTATCATTTGAGGTTCAGACCCCCATCTTTATAGCCCAAAGTTTCTCTTCTCTGCTGCCTCTGACCCCACTTATTAGGCAAACAAAGCTATGAAGCTAATATGCAAATGGACCTTCACCGTATGTGCCTGACCCTTGGGCTGATCAGAGAAGCAAATACATATTCCTTTGTCTAGAGCAGACCTGTTTACCAACTCCCCTGACATGCCTGGCTTAAGCACGTTAGTCATCATTCCAGCATATATCCATAGCTCTCAGTACAGACTGCATACATACATCACACAAGAATATTAATGATCAGTGAGTTATTAGCTTTCCAAGGACATCTTACATGACACCTTTCAGACACGGATTATAACCACTGTGAATTGGGGTATACTGAATTGGGCAGCGAGCAGAAACTCATTACCTGATACAAATGAGCCCTTTGCCATCTGGCACTGGGATGCTCTTAGGGTCACACCTCCTCCCTTACACAGTTGCAGGAAGGTTAGCCACTGGGTGACCCAGAGGCAGCAGGTCAGATCCCTTTTTCCTGGACAGAGCATCTGTTACCATATTTTCTTTACCCTTTATATAGAAGAATCTGTTTTGTCACCTTTACAGTCTCCAGGACATAATATCAGAGAGTATTCATAATTCCAGCTACAAAGTTGGTACAAAAATTCACAGTGACATTAATGCCCAGTGTGTTTAGATTTCAAACAATATATTACATCATCTTTTAAATAATATCATGACACCAGTGTGTGAGGTGTAGTGAAGATGTCAGGCCACTATTCTGTGAACACAAATAGTGACAGAATAGTGAACCACAAATTGGCCTCTGTCTTACACATTCCCCGCAACACGTAGCCCCCCCACCAGCAAGTCCAGGGCCCCCCCACCCCACCCTTTCCCATCCAATTAGACCACTACTTGACGCTGCAGAAGACCCATTAACATGCAAGAAGTAGCTCCTTATTGTCTCCTGCCCTATGTTGCCATGGACACATATCACAGGCAGCAGCTTATTGAAAGGCCACACGCTACGTTGGTTATATATAGGGCCCTACCAATTTCATGGCCATGAAAAACACGTCACGGACCGTGAAATCCAGTCTCCTCCTGTGAAATCTGGTCTTTTGTGTGCTTTTACCCTATACTATACAGTTTTTTATGGGGGAGACCAGCATTTCTCAAAAGGGAGTTGCGGAGCGGGAGAGTCACAAGATTATTTTAGGGGGGTCATGGTATTGCCACCCTTACTTCTGCACTGCCTTCAGAGCTGGGTGGCTGGAGAGCAGTGACTGTTGGCTGGGTGCCCAGCTCTGAAGGCAGCGCTCCGCCAGCATCAGCGCAGAACTAAGGGTGGCAATACCATACCATGCCACCCTTATTTCTGCATTGCTGCTTTCAGAGCTGGGCAGCTGGATAGTGGCCACTGCTGACTGAGGGCCCACCTCTATAGGCAGCAGCGTAGAAGTAAGGGTGGCAATACTATACCATGCTATCCTTTCTTCTGTGCTGCTGCTGGCTCTGTCTTCAGAGTTGGGCTCCTGGCCAGTATCCACCGCCCTCCAGCTGGCCAGCACCGCTGCCAACAGCAGCAGCGCAGAAGTAAGGGTAGCAGTACTGCAATGCCCCCCTACAATACCTTTGCAACCCCTCCTCCCCAACAACTCCTCCTTTTTGGATCAGGACTCCTACAATTACAACACTGTGAAATTTCAGATTTAAAGAGCTGAAATCATGAAATTTACAATTTTTAAAATTCTATGACCGTGAAATTGACCAAAATGGACTGTGACTTTGGTAGGGCCATAGTTATATAGTCTGAGCTGCACCGAAAGCTGGACCCTCATTCTTACTACTCACCTCCAGCTGAGTGGGGTCACATATGGGGATGTGGGAAAAGGGGTGCTGGGTCACATGGGAGGAGGGGGCTGGTTGAGGGGGTGCAGGGCCACATGGGGATGAGGGAAAGGGTGCAGAGACATATGGGCATGGGGGGAGTGGGTGTCTGAGTGGGGATGGAGGGATACACGGGGGTACAGGGACACACGGGGCAGATGTGCCTGACTGAATGTGAGAGGCTAGAGGTCAGCTAGAGTCTGCATGGGGGAGGCTCCCTAACAATCCATTCCTGCCCCCCAAAAAACCCTGTTCCATATTTCTCCCACCCATACCCATCAACCCCCCAGGTTCACTCCCAGGCTCCTTCCCTCTCCCTCAGCTCTCTGTTACCCCTGACTCCCCCAAGCTTTTTCACTGCTTCTGAGGGGGGCGGGAAATACGGTTCTGCATTGTAGTTTAAATTAATTATTCAAAGTTCTGTATTTATATGCCTAGTAAGGAATCTATTTGACAAAAAACATTTCCTGAATATTTTTTCATTGTCTGTATTGTTACAGACATACTTGCTGACAGGTATTTTGAAATAAATTACCAAAATAATTGAAATGTGTGTGATTATACTGTGTTATTTTGGCCAATAAAATATGCAGAATATTGCAGAATTTTAGAATATGTGCAAATCTTTCATTTTTTGGCACAGAATTCCCACAAGAGTAGCCCCCAAGCAGGAGTCTGCCCAAGCCCAAAGACAGTGGCCAGTGCCCAGGTGGCTGCTGCCAAGTGGGGTGAACGACCCATCTCACGGCACCACCACGCCCCTCCCATGCGGTCTCAGCCCCCCTGAAACTCCCAGGTAGGGCAGTGGTCAGCATAGGGTTGCCAGGTGTCCGGTTTTTGACCGTAATGCCTGGTTGAATAGGTACCTTGGTGGCTCCGGTCAGCACCGTTGATCGGACTGCTAAAAGTCCAGTCGGCGGTGCAGCAAGGCCAAGGCAGGCTCCCTGCCTGCCCTGGCTCCACACGGCTCCCAGAAGCGGCTGCCATATCCGGCTCCCAGGTGCATGAATGGCCAGGGAGGCTCGATGAGCTGCACCCACCCCGAGCCCTGGCTCCACGCTCCCATTGGCCAGGAACCGCAGCCAATGGAAACTGTGGGGGTGGCGTCTGTGGGGGCAGGCAGTGCACAGAGCCCCCCTGCCCCTCTGCCTAGGAACTGAACATGCCGTCCGCTTCCGGGAGTTGCCTGAGGTAAGCGCCACCTGGCTGGTGCTCAGAGCCCGAACCCCTGCCCCAGGTCCGAACCCCCTGTTGCACCCCAAATTCCAATCCCTGCCCCAGGCTCAGCCCGGAGCCCCCTCCCACACCCCAAACTCGTCATCCCAGAGCCCGCATCCCCCGCCCCCAACCCCGGGCTGCAGCACAGTGAGGGTGGGGGAGAGCGAGAGAAGGAAGGAGGGGGCGGGGCCTCAGGGCAGGGGGCGGGGCAAGGACGTTGGGTTTGGCGTGATTAGAAAGTTGGGGACACAAGACCAGCAGCGCAAGGCCAGTGTCACCAGCAGCCAGGGACCCACTGTGCAGTTACCGGGGCACAGGGAATGGGGGCTGGAGAGGCGGCCGGGCGGACACGCAGTTCCCCCGCTCCCCGTTTCCCTCTGAGCCCCCTCCCAGTCCCGGTGCCTCAGCAAACGGCAGCGCGCACGGGACAGGGGCTCTCACTCACTTTGACCGGGTCTCCGGCACCGCCTCGAGTTAGGGCCGCTGTTGCCGCGGCTGCCCGTTCTCCCCCCCGCCACTTGGTTTCTTCCTCATCCCCCTCCGCGGCCTGTTCTGCTACTTTTGCCGAAAACAAACAACAGCTGCCAAGGAAACAACGCTCCGCAGAACGCGCATGCGCCTAAAGTGGGGCGAACAGCTCCTTTAGAAACCAGGCGTGGAGAAGCAGCGTACATCCGGGACTTCTTCGCAGGCTTCCCACCTCAACTGCAACGGAAACACATGCGCCACTACTGAGTCCCGAAGATGAAACGCGCGCGCGGTCCTTAGAATTAAGGGAGGCCGTTGGGGGAGGAAAGGTGCATGCGCCAGAGAGTGATGCAGTGCACGCGGGGAGATGCGGCCAAGACGTGATGCGCATGCGCGGCGCATGAGGTTGGGATTTCTGATGCCTGCCGCCCAGCCAGGCGCGGCAGTGTTAAGGGCGGCGGTTGTTGGATGATGCAAACGGCCAATTCTGCACTGGTTTAATGCCCCCGCAGCCGACTCCTGGTGGCGTTGGCGATTGGCCGCAGCAGGGGTCTGCTCGGGGCATCGTGGGCCTGCCCCAAAGCCCAGGGGCTCCGGGCTGGAGAAGGGGAGCCTCACACTCCCGATCCCTCAAGTGACCTCTTCTGGGCAGCCAGGAGCCCGCCGGGCACAGGGGAGGGCAGTGCACGCCCCTCTGCCCCAGCCAGGGTGGGGCCTAACCCTGTGGGGTGGGAGGGGGATGCCATGTAGGAAGCATGCAGTAAAGTGAATTATTATTTAAAACGTTCCCTCGACCTCAGCATCTCACTGTTAAAGCAGGGACAATATTTTGCAAAACAGGAACGTCACTGTGTTTCCACCAGCTATACTGTTGTTATTTGGGAAGCCCCAAATCGGTGTCTCTTGTTGCCCTTGTAATGGGTGATGGCCCAGTAAAATTCAAGTTCAAAAGCATGAAACTGGAAGTCAAGCAAACCAAAAGAAAAACGTTTGCCAAAAAATGCAGAGAACAGACAGTTTTTTCAATATTAAGTCATTGGTTGATTGAAAAAAAGTTAAATTTTTACAAGCTCTGTGTGTGCATTAACTATGAAAATGAGCTGTGTGTGCATTAACTATGAAAATTAACTTGTCAAATGAAAGTCTTTGAATGAAATCCTGGTCCCCACTGAAGTCAGTGGGAATTTTGCTATTGACTTCAGTGAGGACACAATTTCAGTCTTTGCCTCAGTTATAAATGGCAGCACAAATAGACTCACATATGTCAGTAAGTGCCAACGTTTTTCAGTGTACCTACACTGATAATCTGGAAACTCCATTCTCAGTGTAACCTCCTGTCAATCAGCATGACGTTTGTTCTAAGAGGAAATAAATCCTTTCTGGAGTCATATCCCAAAAAAATCAGCGCAATAAATGATTTCATTTCTCATTTGTAGAAGTTTTCTAGAAAGGTCAAGACTTCCAGTACTAGAAGCCCAAATTCATCCCTGCTGTAATTCCACTGGAGTCAATAGAGTTACATCAGGGATGAATATAATCAAATCTTTCCAAAAGCCTGGTTAAATGAAATCACACACCCTTTCAATTCCAAAGTCAGTTTTCAACTAACTCCATGCTATTTGTATCACTTCAGAGATGCCACTAAAACTTGTATTCCTGGATGACAGTGTCATCATTCACTGTTCTCAAGTATACGGCTAAAATTCAGTTCCAGGAACACAGAGTGAAACCTATAGCCAAGTACATATGTAAAATATGCATATAAAGGCTTTTTCCAAGTCTTTTTTAAAAATTGGCAGTGTTGAGTAAATCAATTGTATGAAGAATCCCATCTCCCCCTTTCCTGCTTCCTTTCCCCAATCTAGGCTCATTTAAGCAGGCAGAAGAATTAGGGTTCTAGTTTGACATTAAGTAACTAACTTACAGATGACAGAAATTGTGGCAGTGGTAAATAATGAAGAGGACTGATTGAGCTAACTGGATTGCTTGCTAAAATGCATATTGTTTGTGTCCAGCTTAATATGGCTAAATGTAAATATCAAGGAACAATGAATGTAGGCTGTACTTATAGGATGGGGGACTCTATCCTGGAAAGTATTGACACTGAAAAAGATTTAGGGGGCTGAATATGATCTGTCAGTGTGACACTGTGGCCAAAAGAGCTAATGTGATCCTGTGATGAATAAACAGGGGTCTCCCAAGTAGGAGTAGAGAGGTTATTTTACCCCTGTACTTGGCACTAGTACAACTGCTGCTGGAATACTGTATCCAGTTCTGGTGTCTACAATTCAAGAAATATGTTGGAGAGGGTTCAGATAAGGGCCATGAGAATGATTAAAGGATTAGAAAATATGCCTTAGTGATAGGCTCAAGGAGCTCCATCTATTTAGCTTAACAAAAAGAAGGTTAAGGAGTGACTTGATTCTAGTCTATGAGTTCCTACACAGCACTCAAAAGAACTACTCACATGAGTAGTAAGGATTGCATGATCAAGTCCATAAGATTTCTGAAAGCTTAGGCCCTACATTTGTCAAAGTTATATGCAACTATTAAAACACATTTTGTTAATTTTAGTACAATTATGACACTGTGACATTACCCAGAGTATAATCTGGACTGATGAACAGCTTTGTTCCCTCAGTTCTTCAATCTGGGATGCCTTTTACATTGCTTCACAGTGAGAGTTAACACTCCTGGTCTATTCACAAACAACCTCCAGCATGTTAATTGCTCTCTATGAGCTGAGGGGTGAAAACATTAACTGCTATAGCCAGCCACTCTTGAATTACACTGCAGAGAAACACCAGCCAATTCCCAATCCCAGACTTTCCCTAGAAATGTAGGTCTTGTACTGCCCAGCTCTCTTCTGAACAATACAAACTCATATAAAGTCTGCCATTTTATTAATAGAAAATGATATGCACAAATCCTATTATCCCAAATGGAGGTTTCCCCAGACACTTCAATCCAAACACCCTGGTTTAGATAAATCAGTGAAACAAGTTTATTAACTACAGAAAGATAGGTTTAAAGTGATTACCAGTAATGAGGCATAAAAGTTGGATTTGTAACAGAATTACATACTAGGTTATTTTACCTTGATAATAATTTCTTCTTCTTCTTTATAATATATTATAAAGTGGGCAGGTTTACAGGCCCAACCAGTGTGATTTATATGGCAACAGCCACAGTGGAATTTGTTAGTGACATTGGCCTTTTGAAGTAATACGCCAAGGGGAAAAAATATAAGAAAAAATGTTTTAGCTTTTCCCCTACTATATTATACAGTTATAATTTTTAAATGAATTTATAAGAGCAATGAAAGCCTTTAAAAGCCTAAGATTATCACAAAATTATGGTAAATTTAGGGCCCAATCTTGCAAGGTGCTGAGCACCCTCCACTTCTTGTACTGTGCTCTGCAGGGTCAGGTTTCTAGTGCTCTGAAAGGAGCAGTCCTGGACTCTGGCAGTCTTGTAAACTGAAGACTCTTAAAGAAGAAGAACAAGTACAACACAGTAATTAGCAGTGGAAGCTTACATACACCTTCCTACCCATGTGCTTCAATGCCTAGGGGTGAAAAGATAGGTTAGTTTCCATACCAGTTCACTCTTTGTGGAGATGCTAATATTAGTGATTGCAATTCAGGAAGGCACTTAAGCACTTTCCTGAGTAGGGTTGAAATTAAGTACATGCTAATGCATGCATAACTTTAAGCACATGCTTAAAACCCATTGACTTCTATTGGACTGACGCATATGCTTAAATTTAAGTACATGTGTCATAAATATAAAGGGAAGGGTAACAACCTTTATGTATGCAGTAACATAAAATCCCTCCTGGCCAGAGGTACAGAATCACTACCTGTAAAGGGTTAATCAGTTCAATTAACCTAGTTGGTACCTGACCAGAAGGACCAACGGGGAAAGAAGATACTTTCAAATCTGGGGTGGAGAAGGTTTTGGTGGTGCTCTTTTTGTTGGTTCCGTTTCGGGATAAAGAGAGAGACCAAGCAGGTAAACCAGCTCCTCACAAGATCCTGAAATGATATATCTAAAATTACAGAAATTGTAAGTAATAGCAAGGAAATGCGTTAGATTATCTTTTGTTTTAGCTTGTGAATTTTCCCTATGCTAAGAGGTAATTTTATTCCTGTTTTGTAACTGGGAAGCAGAGTCAGAGGGAAATCCTCTGTGTTTTAAATCTTCTTATTTACCCTGTAAAGTTATCTTCCATCCTGTTTTTGCAGGTGTGATTCTTTAATTTTTTTTTTTTAATAAAATTCTTCTTTTAAGAACCTGATTGGTTTTTAGTGTCCTAAAAACCCAAGGATCTGGTCTGTGCTCAACTTGTTAACCTATTTGGTTGGTATATTATTCTCAAGCCTCCCCCTAGGAAAAGGGGTGAAGAGGCTTGGGGGGGATATTTTGGAGGGGGAAATAGGGCTCCAAGTGGCCCCTCCCTGAATGTTTGTTTAAATCACTTGGTGGTGGCAGCAATACTGTCCAAGGACAAAGAAAGGAATCTGTGCCTTGGGGAAGTTTTTACCCTAAGCTGGTGAAATATAAGCTTAGGGGGTCTTTCATGTGGGTCCCCACATCTGTACCCCAGAGTTCAGAGTGGGGAGGGAACCCTGACAACATGCTTATGTGCTTCCTGAATAAGGGAAAGTATCATTTATCACATCTGTACCCCAGAGTTCAGAGTGGGGAGGGAACCCTGACAACATGCTTATGTGCTTCCTGAATAAGGGAAAGTATCATTTATCATGGCGGGGTTGTTTTTGTCGTCTTAATGTGGACACCTTTTCTCCAGAAGCTAAAATTCCTAAGATCCAGAAGCCCTTCAAAATTTGCTATGGTGTTTCACCTCAGCCAAAGCCATATAAGCTACCTTTGAAATCGCAGTTTTTTGTATTGAAAACTTCAGAAACAAACATCTGAAAAAACTCTGGTCCATTTGAAAGCCTTTTCTAGAGTCTATCCAATTTCTGGCTTTCAAGTGCTTTAAGAAGTTCAAGCCATGGCTTCTTTAAGGGTACCAGTTGTGGAGACTTGGACTGAAGCTGAAACCAGAAGTTAGCAAACCACTGAGATCTAGTATT